GTGTGTGTGTTTGTGTGTGTGTGTAGAGCTTTAACATGTATGAAATAAACATCAATAGAACTCAAAGGAAAAATAGACAGCATCACCATTACAGTTGAACATTTCAACAATCTTCTCTCAGTCAGAAAAGAAGCAGAAAGAAAATCAGGAAGGGCATGGAAAACTTGAACAACACTACAAACCAACCTAATAGATACTTCTAGAGAATGCTACCAACCCAGTATCAGTCACCGAAACACACCAAATATTGAATTGTACAACAAATCTCAATAAAGTGTGAAAACCTGAAATTGTACAAAAGCCTATTCTCCTGACAATAATGAAATTAAGTTAGGAATCAATAGAAAAATCTCTGGGGAAAAATTAAATTTAAAAAGAAAAGAAAAGAAAAATATCTGGAAAAATCCCTCAATCTTTGGAAATTTAAAATACACCATTACATAACTTAACGTCAAGTGAGAATTTATGAAATGATTTTGAATTGGAAAAAAAAATGAAAACAGCCTTTTGAAACTTGTCAGATGTAGCTAAATCAGTGTTTTTACAGGGAAATTCACAGCATAGAAACCTCATAGTGATAGAATTCCAGGGAACACGGTGAATGTTCCTAAAACCAACCATACTTTTAATAACATGGAAAGGACTAGTCCCACAAAACGACACACTATAAGTAAGGCCCCCCTTGCTCAATGGGGTAAAGGCCCAGGGAAAGCAGGAAGTGCTCTGATGAGCAAAACTAAGCCCATCTTCCAGGGGAAAAAAAAAGGCTAAAAATACAAAGACGATTGTGATAAGGCTTGAATGCTGCAGTTCTAAGAGAATGCTAGATGTTAAGAGATGCAAACATTTTGAACTGGAAGGAGATAAAAAGAGAATTGTTGAGTAATATTCCAAATGAGGCAGACCTGGGCTTCATCTTTTGTTTAATTATAATGATAATAAAATTTTGATGTTACATTTACTTCAAAATTTAAGTTGGTAGTAAGAAGACATCTTAGTTCTTTTTTCTGTTGCTATAACAGAACAACTGAGACTGGATCATTTGTAAAGAACACAGGTCTGCACCATCTCTTACTATGTACAAAACTCAGAGTGGATCAAATAAAAAGTTGTGTCCCATTTGTGTACAATGAATCAAAATGCATTCTGCTGTCATGTATAACTAATTAGACCAAATTTTAAAAACTAAAGGGAAAAAAAAAAAAGAACATAGGTCTGTTAAGCCTGGAATGGTGGCATACACTGTAATCCCAGGTACTCAGGAGGCTAAGGCAGGAGGATCACTTGAGCTCAGGAGATTCAGAGCAGTCTAGGCAACAAGGTGAGACCTTCATCTCAAAAAACCAAGAAAAGGGGGAGCTGGGAGTGTAGCTCAGTGTGTAGAACACTTGTCTACCATGGGGAAGGCCCTGGGTTCAATCAAAAAGAGAAGAGGGAGAGGGAATGAGGGAGGGAGAGACAGGGTTTATGTAGCTCATGATCCTGGAAGTCCAAGGGCATGGTGCTGGCATCTGCTCACCTTCTGGTGGGGACACACACCACTCTAGGCATGGCAGAAAAATGGAAGGGTAAGTGGAACATGTAAGAAGGCAGGGTAGACAGAAGAGCTGACCCGCTTCACAACAACCCACCACAACTACCCCATCTCAAAGGAACTCCATTAACCCCTTCAAGAGGGCGGAGCCCTGTGTCTCCTACCACCTCTCGCACAGCCCCAGCACGTCTCCACACCATGACGTTGGCAATTCAGTCTTGACAGGAGTTGTAGGGGGGACCAACCATACTTAATCCAAAGCAGGAGAGAAGAATGGTCTCAAGTCAGTGATCCAGTAATTATTCACCTGAAGGAAATAGAAAGAGAAAGGTAACATATATCCCAAACACACAGGAAGGACATGATAAAAACATGAGCAGACATCTACAAAGGGAAAACCACAAAAATAAGAGAAAATCGATGAAACCAAAAGCTGTTTCTTTACGGAAAAACAAAGATAATTCATGAACCTCTGGTCAAACTCATCAAGAATGAGAATGCACAGATTACTAACATCAAGAATGAAATCACCAGATCTACTCATGTGAAGAATAAGAAAATAGGAACAACTAAGCCAATAAATTCAGCACCTTGGATGATATGGATGAATTCTTCAAAAAACACATTCTTTGACCCAAAGTTGCTTACAGTCTGTTTGGAGAGAATGATACACTATGATAGGGCTGGGGTGTAGCTCAGTGATAGAGTGCTTGCCCAGCATGTGCAAGGCCCTGGGTTCAAGCCTCAGAACCACAAACAATAACAATTTTTTTAAAATACGCTGTGAGAATTCTAGTTTTCATGTGCCTGAACAACTCCAAGTAGAAAACTCATAATAAACAAAGACATGGAAAAAGAACTAAACAGAGGCTTCTCTATCATTGGAACAGGAAAAATCAGAGCTTTCTCTTGGATAAAGAACTGAAAATCAGAGAAGGATTTTAAGCTGTGGTCACTGTATGTTTGTTTTAGGTGAACTGTTCTGACAGTTGTGAGGGGAAAGAATTCGAGAAGACCGACCGCAGAAATAGAAATTAGGAAACTCCACATAGTTGAGTGAAAGATGATGAGGATCTGAACTACCAGGGTGATAGTAAGATCTGAGAGGAAAATAAAATCTGAGAAATATTAGGAGGCAGAATCAGCAGAACTTGGTGACTGACCAATAATGGGAAGGATGAAGGAGGAGGACAGTCTGTTGTTTCTGGCTTGGGAGTGAAGTGGTCATGGATACTGGGAACTTTGAAGGAACAGGCAGTTAGTGGCAAGGGAGGTAAGCTAAATTTAAAGATTTTAGACTCGAGGTACCTTATAGGAAATCAAGGTCAGGGGTGTTAAGCAAGCATTTGAATGCAGACACTTGAAGCAATGGGGGGAAGTCAGCACTAAAATAATGTACCACACGGGTAGACCTCTAACCTACAAAAAAATACAAGTGGCCAAGCATAGAACCTGGGATAGAAGCTCAGGAAAAGCTTTATGATTTTAGAATAATACAGTTCATAAGAAAGTACAAGCATGCACAAAAGTATTAAGCAACATCCTATAATATCAAAAAAAAATTGGAAACAATCTAAATATCAAAGAAAAGTAGAATGGCAGACTTTTAAAATTATGTTTAGGAAGAATCTAATGTACAAATGCTTATGATAAAGTGTTAAATGTGTTCCTATCTTTAAAAACTATGTACAAAATGTGTGCATATATGTAGTATTATTACACATTATGAAGGCATAGC